TCGTGCATCACCTGACGCATTTGCTTCTGCGAGCGAAGCCGCAACAGGTCATCTAGTGCCAATGGAAAAGGATCTACCCAAAAAATTTGAAAAATAGGCTAACACTCCCCCGAGTAGAACGAAGCCAGGACCATAAGACCCTGTTAAGAGAAAGAAAAGAAGCGACCAATTTCTCAAATCGCTAGCCTTGGACAAATGGTCATTGTACTATTGTAGTCGTATTCGGGGCAACTTTCAGTCTACGATGATAGTGGGTAATCATAACCTCTATCTCCTCCATGCCCTTGAATGAAAATCCATTACACCCACACGCTCCATATTTGTAACAGTGTGCTTGGATGCTGATGGATAAAGAACCACTTTCTTAATGACCCATCGCAAGAAAGCTCATGGAGATTGTTTAAGTAGCCCTTTCTGAACTGGTGGTAGTACTTCTATGAGGACTCGTGTGGGAGGGTTCTCATTCACACACACACTCCATTTTTGAAAGAGCGTTCTTGGATGCTGATGGATAAAGAACCACTTTCCTAATGTTCCCATCGCACGAAAGCTTATGGAGATATTGTTTAAAGCGGGGCTGGTCCCCGGTTGGACTGGGGCCTCGTCCCACGACCGGGAGCCTGCTGGTCGGACTCGGCGGTCGACTGGCCCGGCAGGCCCCCGTTCCAATCTAGCACATGATGCTGGAGGGGGGGGAGAAGGGTGGGGGGTGGGGGGGAAGGGGGAGGGGGAGTCGCGGGAATCCCCACGATTGCCCAGCCCCGGGAGGTCGCGGCCTCCTAAAAAATAAAAAATCAGGACACTTAGGACCTTCCTTCTTGATAGAAACGGCCAGAAGATCTCCACCGGTGATCTTTGCAGATCAGCGGCGGGAAACGGCTGCACGATTTTCTCAAAATGCGGAGTCCAACAGGCCCCGTTTTCCAATTTGGTATTGTGTGGTCTGATGTACCACAGACTAAACACCTTTGGACGGACGTGGTAGTCGTTCGCACTCAACCACCAGGAAAACGTTATCCTATTACAGTGGCTCTGCTATGCTTCGGCGACGTCCCTACTCTCTGGGGAAAAGTTATGGGTTTGGGTTTCGGCTCGTGAAGGGAGAGTAACCATGCTGTCTAAGTTGCAAGCCCAAAATGGACCTAAGTTATATTCTTCTCTCAATCCATCTAGAATGGACCTGAGCTCCACGACACGTATGTGGAGAGACTGCCAGGCAACATACTTTCGGAGAAATTCGGACTGATGACCCGCCGTATGTAGAAAAAAACAAACAGAGCACGAGCTGAAACCTGAAGCACCCAATTCAACCCATCACTTTTCTGTTGTTGAGCTATACTCTGGAAGGCAGTGGAAGCACTTTGGCAAGGACCTTCCTTCATCATCTCTTTCAGCCTGCGGGGACCCGCCGTATGTAGAAAAAACAAACAGAGCACGAGATGAAACCTGAGCCCAATTCAACCCATCACTTTTTTGTTGTTCAGCTATACTCTGGAAGGCAGTGGAAG